TATTCTTAAAATAAATTATCATTCAACAAATGATTTCTGTAAGAGGCTAGGGTCGAGTTGAATAAATCAATACCCTGGGGTAATGTATTATAAAGCCTCATTAAAACATTGGCAGGAGACTGGGCACCCAGGCAAGTCCGGGCGAATGTAGGAGCAAACAAAACACGGACTCTGGACGAGGGACGAGGCACGAGGAAAGATAACAGCGATAAGATCTCGCTATCATCAACTTTTCCATTGACCAATTTGTGGAGAAATGTCAGCATTAGTACATCCCGTCGACTCTTTAAGCTCTTCATTTCGAACAGATCCAGTAATATAGGATATGATATGTCATATGTGAAATAGCCGAATCTTTTGAAAAATAGATACCGTAGGAATTTTATTTGGATTTGTTCTATCATCTCAATGAGATAAGCATGATGTGGATACCACACTATTGAACCGAATTCAAGTCTAGACCTAACCAGGGAGAAATATAGTAGCTTGAGTCCATATATGCCTTTCAGGAAATTCCCAGATCTGAATATAAAACCCAAGTTACGATAAGCCATCTTACAGGATTCAGCAATATGGTCTGCATACGAAAACTTGTCATCAATTGTAATTCCAAGATCTTTGGTTTTAGAAAGAGACTGAAGGACAGCACCATTCATTGAGTAGCGAAAATTAATGATATTCTGCGTACGTCTTGTGTACCTCACGACAGCACATTTATCTGGATGAAATTTTAAGCCCTTATTACTCCAGCCTACTAAACGATCTAGGTCTTCTGAAGAAGTATACAGTCATTAACAGTGTTTATTTCTTTGAAGACTTTTAAATCATCAGAATATAGAAGAACTTTACTATGATGAATACATTCAACAATGTCATTAATAAAAATTGTGAAAAGTAGAGGACCTAAATTAGAACCCTGCGGAACACCAGATGAAACAATGAATTCATTAGAATAATAGCCTTGGAATACGACATATTGCTTTCTATTAAATAAATAAGTGGAGAAAAATTTTAGTACATCGTAAGAAAACCCGTAATAATTCAGTTTAGACAAAAGAATCAAATGACTGACTGTATCAAACGCTTTTTCAAAATCTGTGTAAATAACGTAAATCTGACCTCCCCTATCTAAAGAAGATATGCAGAAATTAGAAAAATTAAGAAGGTTGGTATTTATGGAACGACCCGGGAAAAAACCATGCTGAAAAGGAGTGATGAAGTTTTTTATATGAAGAAATATTCTATTGTACAACAAGGATTCCAAAATTTTCGCTGGGGTTGATAAAATGGCAACAGGTCTGTGATTCTTTAGGTCGTTTTTCTTTCCTTTCTTGTGAATAGGGACAACCTTCGTGCGTTTCCAGCGATCAGGAAAATATGAATTGCTAATAGAAAGATTAAAAATCTTTAATAAAGGTGGAACTAACAATTCAGCACAGCCTTTGAAGATGTACGAAGGTATGCCATCCGGACCAGAAGAACGTTTTGTCTTGAGCTTCTTAAAAGCCGAAATCATTTCATCCTCAGATATATCATGCAAAGTGAATTCGTCAATATAATTATGTACTGGAGAACAAACTGCCTGACGACATAACTCCTCACTATCAAGATTGGAAGGTACGTACACTGATTGGAAATAAGTGGCAAATGCCTGGGCTATCGCTTCACCCCCCTCCACCTCCTCCCCGTCCAGTGTCATTGTTGCGGAACTATTATTGCTCGACCTTAGCCTCTTTACAATTCCCCAGAAAGAATTCGGATTTTTTATAATACTATTTTCGATATCACACATATATAATCTTGTTTAATACTACGTTTGGACTGAGTGCGCAGGTCTTTGTAATCATCATAAAAATGAAATATGGAATATTGTTTTTCTTCAATTTCCTTCTTATTTTTTCCTTATTTTTTATTAATTGAATCGAATGAATAGAGAACCATGGTGGATATTTGCGTTTCTTTTTAACATGCAGAGGAACAAGGCTATCAAAAACAGAGTATAACAATGAATAGAACTTATCTACAGCTAAATCAACATTAGAACATTGTAAAACTGATTCCCACTTGATACTTCTGATTGAATTGTAAAGCTTCAAGTAATCTACTTTATTAAAATTATACGACTTAGGTTTTCCATATTCCATATATGATGGTATACATATTAGGATCAAATTCGAAAATGACCGGGCCAGCATGTCACTGGCCCGGAATCCTAAATTAATTAGTTATCCGGTACCGAGTGGGGTACTAATTTTTTGTTTGTTGGTACTAAATAGTACGAAATAGGTACTAAATATTAGCATAATTCTTATGTACTAAACCCGTCATGGCCGGGCCAGTGACATGGACGTCATTAGATGATGAGAGAGATCCTAAAACCAAAGAGCATGCTATATTCAATTCATATGCGTTGTAACAGATATACAGTACTAGCATAAGCATAGGGCATAGATAAAACTATAGTCTAAGGTAAAAAGGTACTAACTTAGGTAGTGATAGTGATATACGTGGATATACTGTTACTGTACTGTGTATGTGTTTACTGACATATATTAAGATTAATCATACTCCTCTACCATAGATAAAACATACTCCCTTGTGTTGGTTAGTCTATGCCTCTACTGATCTTGATCGTGATGGAGAGCACAAGTTCACATGTACAGAAACCTTATACTGACGTCATAAATATCGAATGTATATATCGATTGTACCGGGTGGTTACGGGTTTTTCTTCGGAATGTAAGTATCGGTTGCACCGAATAAGTAAAGGGTTTTTTTTGTAACACTTTATTTGACGAATTGAATACTCTCGGTAGTTTATCCATTATAAATCAAATAGTAGAAATACAATAATATTCGTTACAGGCTGGGAATAAAATAATTACTGATACTTTGGATTGAACATCCAAGATGTTTTCAATTGTTTTCGTTTTTACCTGACTTATAAAATAAAAACTTGAGTTCACAGGACGTTGAATACTAAGAATTTATTTCATAGCATCCACAATAATACAATAACTGTAATTAAAGTAGACGAATTACAGGAATTATTATCGATTCTAGAAGAGAGTGAAATAATAATTGTAACTTTGACATGTTAACGTTATGTTAATGTTTATGAATGATTTACTAACAGATATTGCCCATCAGTGTAAGGTGACAATTTAAGAAGCCCAAGAGGACTGTTTTACATATATTATTTTATGGAATTTACAGTCACGTAAAATAGGCCCTACAGTTTAACCATTGACTAAGTACTGTGAGTACATTAATCAATGGTTTAGGTTTACAGAAAAAAGTAGAGCTTTTTTCTCATTTTCCCCTTTAGTACATCTTAATTAAACACCATAAGTTTTACCCAATTATATTATTCTGGCTCCATTTAATTCACAATATAACGTTATACTTACTAAGCCTTATCTTGTTATTTATAAATGTACTCTACTTTTTTCTGTAAACCTAAAAAACCATTGATTAATGTACTCACAGTACTTAGTCAATGGTTAAACTGTAGGGCCTATTTTACGTGACTGTAAATTCCATAAAATAATATATCTAAAACAGTCCTCTTGGGCTTCTTAAATTGTCACCTTACACTGATGGGCAATATCTGTTAGTAAATCATTCATAAACATTAACATAACGTTGTTAACATGTCAAAGTTACAATTATTATTTCACTCTCTTCTAGAATCGATAATAATTCCTGTAATTCGTCTACTTTAATTACAGTTATTGTATTATTGTGGATGCTATGAAATAAATTCTTAGTATTCAACGTCCTGTGAACTCAAGTTTTTATTTTATAAGTCAGGTAAATACGAAAACAATTGCAAACATCTTGGATGTTCAATCCAAACACATGGATGTGGGTTCGGATCCTGGTCACTGCCGATAACATTTTATCAGTACAGTTCACCTTTGTACTGTACTGGCTCACTCCTTGCTTTGCTGTTAACGATCCACGCACGGGCGCAGTCTATGTGGAAGGGCAAAATGCAAGGTTAAAAGAGGCCGCCAACCTCTTTAAAAAAACAAAAAAAAAGTATCAGTAATTATTTTATTCCCAGCCTGTAACGAATATTATTGTATTTCTACTATTTGATTTATAATGGATAAACTACCGAGAGTATTCAATTCGTCAAATAAAGTGTTAAAACCCTTTACTTATTCGGTGCAACCGATACTTACATTCCGAAGAAAAACCCGTAACCACCCGGTACAATCGATATATACATTCGATATTTATGACGTCAGTATAAGGTTTCTGTACATGTGAACTTGTGCTCGCCGATCGTGATGTCAGATGTGACCCTGTGCCCTGTGGGAGACATCCGTGATCCGTTTCAATCGCGGATTACTCACCGCATAAGGAATGGGCACACGGAAGGGACTAAGGCTAAAGGTGTAGTGACGTCATATCTCTAGTGGGTAATGTCTTCTCTTGAGGCGACACGATTACCGTTACGAAACGATGTGATTTCAGCGGCGTTCGTGGCATAGTTGGTAGCGTTCCGGATTGGTGTGCAGGAGGTCCCGGGTTCGAATCCCGCTGGTCCCACTGACTTTTTGTCAACAAATTTTTCATATCAGCAAGTTTGGTTGGTTAGGTTAGGTTATGACAGTTTAATTTTATAATACTACATTTTAAAATTAATTTTATAATTAATTAAAAATTATAAGTAATTATTAATTAGATTTTTATCTTATATAGTTTTTATATTATCAGCAAGTCTGGTTGGTTAGGTTATGTTATGACAGTTTAATTTTAAAAATTAAAAATTTATTTTATAATTTTAAAACAATATTTTATAATTAAAAAGTTAATTTAATAACTAAAAAAAAAATTAATTTAAATTATTTCAACTTAGCAGTTCTAGCGGCGAACGCTGACACTACAAGATATGTTAGCCTTAGTCCCTCCCGTGTGCCCCACCGCTCTCATAATGCGCATGAGGGAGTAAACTGTTCCGTGGTGGAACTGTGATATATCAGATTTCAGATACTGTACCTACCTGACCTGACCTGCAGGTTATGTTTTGTTGTGTTGTAGTCGACGGTCGTGTTGGATAGTATTTTTATTTTTTTGTTTTAGTTTAAGTTTAGGCCTACTACTAGTTTGAAGGAAAATGTTTACATGGCTATTCTCTTACTTATTAATTAAATTATCTCCAATGTTACTAATTTCCCCTTCCTTTCAAAATTAAGTTAGCATTATTGTTTCGGTCCCAAATTGAATTCAAATTATCTTAGTTTATTAAACAAGGTAAGTTAAGTGGTAATATTAACTTATTTTAGTTTAGTTGGGCCAAGGCTATGTGTTGGTAGTAAAAAACAAAACTATAAGTTAGGCCTATTAGCCTTTAAATGCCTAAGTTAACTTACCCTATTTTCTTTTTTTCTTGTCTGGTCCTGCAAGACTATCAACCAAAGACATAAAATAAATTAAGTTAGGCATTATAGGCCTAAATATAAAAATTTACTCAACTCTTAAGTTAATTTTGATGATGAAACTTCGCTAAGTAACTTAAGTACTGTAATAGCCTAGGCATACATTTAAAAAGCTATCAAAACTTTGTAGGTAGTATATTGTGATAGGGTAATATTAAGTTCTAAAACATTGTTGATTGCCCCCTAACGATTTTTAAGATAGGCCAAGTAAGGTAGTCTATAAGAGGTAAATGGTTAAAAAGTAGCCTAAAGCCGCGTTAAAAACTTAACTCTAACTAACTTAGGCCCTAAACTTAATAAGTTAGGTACAACCTAAGTTAGGCTAGGGGACTGTTTTATAAACTTTTGTATGTCAAACATTATTTGAACTTTTGTTTTATTTAACTTAGGCCTACATAACCTTTGTTTGTAAGTTAAAACTTGAAAGTTCACTTAGGCTACAACTAACTTAGGGGTCTCAATCCCGGACCTTCAATCCAATCCCGGGATTTCGGGATTCGTCTCAGCCGACCCCGGGAACAATCCCGGTAAAACTTATTATAAAATATTAAGATTTTTAACTTATTAGCGATTTTAAATGAGCGATAAGTTTCTTCGTTAACCCTCCGAGTGTTATTTGTCGCTGCAGCGACTCACAAACACTGTTTACGGCGAAGGCTCTATGACTGACAAAATCGGATTGAACTGGATCGAGTTAGGTATCGTTTTATTTTACAGATTCAGAGCTTTCTCCAGAGGTTTGTCTCTAAGCGCTTTTCATTTTAGTTCCGAAAATATTGTAGCAGACAGCTGACGTGCGTATTTGTAAACAGGTAGTTTCACATACCCCCTTCATCCATAACTCTTTGCGCACTTGTCTCCTGCACTTACCTCCTTATTGTTAGGTGATAGTAGCGTACATAATGCAGCTAACATCATATCCAAATGAGCTGACAATGAAAATTACCTTGAACATTTTCTATTTGCTTTTTAGTCCGATTTAAAAATGTATCGGACTGTATTGGACCCACTTAGTACAACGAGTTCTTAACTATTCTTTATAGGTAACTGCTTCCAAGAAGTAAAAGATTGTACATGAAAAAGAAATATTTCTTAGAAAAATTGCAGAGATAAGACTAATAAGCATCTAATAAAAGACAGTTGTTACTTGCACATTTAAAAAATATTTATTATTTTTAGTATTGTGGTATTTCTTTTGCATAGCTGGCTTTTAGTTAGGCCTACTATTTTTTGGACAAAATTACAAGTCAGCACATAAAGTCTATGATAAAGACTTTAAGTAAGTTTACTTGTTATTTAAGTTTATTTTGGTGCAACAATCTTATTTAAATGTAGGCCTACTTTTTATGGTAACATTGTGACGGGTTTTTCCGTTTTATTGAAAAATAGTCAACATATTAATTTAGCTTTTCGGATGGCTCAGTGGATGCCAAGGTTCGTCATCGCAGATACGAAAATAATTTTGAGTGACTCAGACAAGATACCTAATTTTGGTAATATCTCACTATCATCATTGTCACTGTTTTAGATTGCCAATTGAGCTCTTCCAGGTTGCCTTAATAACACTCAAATACTGGAAGGGACGTGTTTAATTGCAAAACCTTCGGTACACGAAATTTAGGTTCAGCTATGAGTGTATTTAGAATATTTACGGGATTGTCTGCAAGTTATCCTGTCGAAATACGAAAATACAGAGTAGATATTTGTCTAATTAGAGACCAATGATTTTATTATGTAACAAAACGATTCTAAGTATTAAAGGACCTACTCATAAAACACTAAATACAAACGTTACCCTATTATAGTCCAGGACCTGACTAGGGTTCTGTGTGCATGTCGTGTATAGTGAATTTTACTTTTGCATTTCAATATAGGTGTCTTAGGAAGTGTTTTCCACTCGGGTGTCAAGTTCGCACCTGGTACGTTTTCGAGCTATGACGTCATCAAAATGGCGGCCATTGATTTTTTTAAATTGTATATTTCGCAAACTAATTGTCGGATCGGAATGAATGTTTTTTTGTTTGAAAGATAATTTTAAATGCTACCTGTTTTACATTTACACATTTGTTGTATGTTTAGTACATTCTTCGTAATTTTGCAAAAACCTGTATTTTTAAATATTTTTGAGTTATTTTTGTTTGTAACGTTTTATTGATACAATTTATAAAAAACCACCAATGAAAAAAGTTGTAGAACATTTAAAAATCTTTACAAAAATACCAAATTCGATATGTTTTACTCAAAAGATTACGTCAAGAAACTAGATAAATCTCATAAAAACACCAATTTTGGCGCAAAAACGCCTATTAGTCCGGCATCTAGGGCAGTTCGTAAGTCTTATAAAGACAGTTTCGCCATTCAATGTTGATGTACGTGTCTAAATAAGTGTTTTCAACTCGGGTGTCACGTCTGCACCCACTGCAGTTTCCGGTTATGACGTCATTAAAATGGCGGAAAGGGCTATATTAAAAATAACGATATTTTACATACCATGTATTGGATCGGAATGAACTTTTTTTTGTTTGAAAGATAAGTTTACATGCTATCTTTCTTACATTTGCACTTTTGTTTTATGTTTAGTACATTTTTCGTAATTTTGCAAAAACCTATATTTTTAAACATTTTTGTGTTATTTTTGTCGATAACGTTTTATTGATACAATATATCAGAAATAACTTAAAGACAAAGTTGTAGCACGTTAAAAGAGCTTTACAAAAATACCAAATTCGATATGCTTTACTCAAAAGATCACGTCAAGAAACTAGAAAATCGTACAAAACAACCTAATTTTGCGCAAAAACGCATATAAATCCGACATCGATGGCTGTGTTCGAGTCATATATAGACAGTTTTACCATTCAATGTTGATGTATGTGTCTAAAGAAGTGTTTTTAACTCGGGTGTCACGTCTGGACCCACTGCAGTTTCCGGTTATGATGTCTTAAAAATTGCTACATGTTACGATTTCACCAGCTATTTTACTTAAAATAAGACCATTACCCTCTTTTATGCAAATAAAAGCACAACAAATCAATGTAATTAGTCCATAGGAATGTTTCCACTATATAAATACCCCCGGTGCAGCAATCCTTTCGACTAAGCGAATTTCCATTTGCATGGATTGAGATTTATATGCGTTTTTGCGCAAAATTAGGTTGTTTTGTACGATTTTCTAGTTTCTTGACGTGATCTTTTGAGTAAAGCATATCGAATTTGGTATTTTTGTAAAGCTCTTTTAACGTGCTACAACTTTGTCTTTAAGTTATTTCTGATATATTGTATCAATAAAACGTTATCGACAAAAATAACACAAAAATGTTTAAAAATATAGGTTTTTGCAAAATTACGAAAAATGTACTAAACATAAAACAAAAGTGCAAATGTAAGAAAGATAGCATGTAAACTTATCTTTCAAACAAAAAAAAGTTCATTCCGATCCAATACATGGTATGTAAAATATCGTTATTTTTAATATAGCCCTTTCCGCCATTTTAATGACGTCATAACCGGAAACTGCAGTGGGTGCAGACGTGACACCCGAGTTGAAAACCCTTATTTAGACACGTACATCAACATTGAATGGCGAAACTGTTTTTATAAGACTTGCGAACTGCCCTAGAGGCCGGACTAATAGGCGTTTTTGCGCCAAAATTGGTGTTTTTATGAGATTTATCTAGTTTCTTGACGTAATCTTTTGAGTAAAACATATCGAATTTGGTATTTTTGTAAAGATTTTTAAATGTTCTACAACTTTTTTCATTGGTGGTTTTTTATAAATTGTATCAATAAAACGTTACAAACAAAAATAACTCAAAAATATTTAAAAATACAGGTTTTTGCAAAATTACGAAGAATGTACTAAACATACAACAAATGTGTAAATGTAAAACAGGTAGCATTTAAAATTATCTTTCAAACAAAAAAACATTCATTCCGATCCGACAAATAGTTTGCGAAATATACGATTTAAAAAAATCAATGGCCGCCATTTTGATGACGTCATAGCTCGAAAACGTACCAGGTGCGAACTTGACACCCGAGTGGAAAACACTTCCTAAGACACCTATATTGAAATGCAAAAGCAAAATTCTCTATACACGACATGCACACAGAATTCTAGTCATGTCCAGGACTAAATCTTTCCCGGAACGTACACCACTTTCAGTGTTCGTTTACGATTTATTCAATCTCTTTGCTTTATCTTTAGGTCTAATCACATATTGTTTGGTATCATTGGAAAGGGTATAGAATCATCTGCAACTTTTGCAATGGGTGGTATTTGATTTTATCAGCGGTTAAGAAGTTATAAGCAAAACAATAAATATAATAATAATAAAAAACACGTTTTTTAATATAGTGAGATAAATATTAAGTTTACAACAAAAGTGTAAATACAAGAAAGATAGGGTGTAAAAATATCTTTCAAACAAAAAATAAATCATCCTGATCCATTAAACGGTTCGCGAAATATACGCATTCAAAAATTGCTGAGCCGCCATCTTGATGACGTCATAGCTCGAAAACGTACCAGGTGCGAACTTGACACCCGAGTGGAAAACACTTCCTAAGACACCTATATTGAAATGCAAAAGTAAAATTCACTATACACGACATGCACACAGAACCCTAGTCAGGTCCTGGACTATTAACACGAAAGCCCAGGTTGCTTCAGCGGCAACAAAACGATTCTGGGATGGAACAAGTTACCTAATAGTTAATAATATCAACGTTAAACAACACACAAAACAAAATACACCCAGGTTGCTTCAGCAGCAACAAAACGATACTGGGATGTAACGAGTTAATAGTTAATAA